GTAATGAAAAGTTCAGTATATTTAATGAAAAGAAAACAGTTATTTTTTCAGCTCAAGTTCTGCAACTTGTGCAAGTTCAACAAAACTAACAACAGACCTAACTTCGCAAATAAATAACGTCTCGATGGAAATTTCACTTACTTATTAATCTTCTTATATGTGCTTTTTGACATATATCTATCACTTCGTTACAAATATAAATTAGAAATTTACAGCATTGAACTGATTATCTTGCTGACTCAATAGTCTATCAACATTCTTTTATAGTCTAGTATACTCATATTTTGTATCATTCAAACTGTATTGTTACGTATCTACTTGTTTGTTACGATACAAGTCCATTCTTGATTAAACCAGTTTATTCTCTCTCGATACAAACTTTTAGTACACAGTAATTCCACAGTCAATATGTTTCTCGTCACTTTCACTTAACGATTTTTATAAACACTATAAGTCACAGCGATTCACAATCTCGATAATTTAGCTCTCTACGAGTGCAAAACACATACTAGCACGAAACAGAATCATAAATTACCCGAAACTCACCGTGACTACTGTTCGCTTTATCATACATTCATTATCCCCTGGCTTTTCTCTGCCAGGCTTATATACTAACAAAGGGACGTCTCCAACATTCGAGGAGTTCCCTGATAATTCGAGAAACTCAGTCACGCATGCGCTGTCGTAACAGTCTCTTGAATTTTCAAGAAATTTATTGTTATTAGGCTACGCAATTATCAAAGTTCCATCTGGCCAAAAGGAATACAAATGTCAATATATTTGTTGTTTGTAGTTAAGCGCAAAGCTACACAAAACGCTATCTATTTCGATGACGAGGAACCCACTTTGAGACTAATAATGGCTGGAGAGGGCTTGAATGGGTAATGAAGAAAAACTTTAATATAAGTTTAACATAACAGCAAGTGTACAACGTTTCGACAAGGTTTTTGTCATCATCAGTACCTTGTCGAAACGTTGTACATTTGCTGTTATGATAAACTTATATTAAGTTTTTCTTCATTACCCATTCAAGCCGTCTCCAGCCATTATTAAACGCTATCTATGCTCTGTCCACCACGGGTATCGAAACCTGGTTTCTAGCGTTGTAAGTCCGCAGACATACCGCTGTGCCACTTGGGGCTACAAATGTCTAAATTAAGAAAAACACAGACCACAACACTCGTAAAGGCAATAAGTCATATTTTTCTTTATGTAAATATTTATCTCGAAACCTTTTAATAATTTCTTTTGAAGTTGTCTTCAGGCATTGCGGCTCGAATAGAAAAGTTAAAAAATTCTGGACGAATGTTAAATTTAGAGGAAAATTGTATTGTTTTTTTATCATTAATTAATACTTATTATGAGTTTTGAACAGAATGGAAAATATTTGTAATCGAAGACTTGAATAAGTTTAAACCAGTAGATGACGCTTCATCTCTTGCTCACTGAAGTCAACTGAATGGCGCTGAATTAGATAAAGTAAACTGTTAGGCGTAGGTTGGGATTTCTATTTACCTAAACGGAGATGTCAGACGAGAAAAAGGTAACTGCAATATGCAGTTTTTGCTATTAATTTTCTCTATGAGAGAAATATTAGTTATCATTTCCTGTTTTCTTTTCTACCATTTTAACGACTAAAGTAAAACAGACTGCCATTTATTGTGTAACAAAAACTAACATAATTTATTGAAATGCCATCTTATCTAATAGTATTCCAGTGATCAGTATTGGCAATATTGTTAATGTTACTATTGTCAGGAATATTATTATTAATTAAATTAGTAACAGTATTGCCTATTGGCCAAAGGCGATAGACAGATTTTCCAACATACTGATATTAGTAATAATATTATTAATAATACACATGTGTATATATATATATATATATATCTAATTTTAAAAAATGAATTTGAATCCTAACCTTATGTAATTAAAACGTATGCAGTGTCTTGCTTTTGCATCAGAACTTTACATTGGATGATTGACTGTCAATGAGCTTCGAGTGTGAAGAGACATAAAACAATCTTTAAAAAATTCAAATCTGATGTTTTACTTTGAAATTTATCACTGGGACATATGCAGATGGTTTACTCAATAACACTAAGTTAAGTGCCAATATAAAGTTATTGTTACTGTTAGACTAGTAAATGGTATGACTTCAAATTAAATCGATTGATCTACATTCGTGTTTGTGAGGAAAGAGAAACCATCCAAATATAGAATAAGTTCCACAAAACATTATGCATCAATTGGTTATTAAACTAGTTTTTATGTTTTGGTTTTTAAAGAATTCTTTTAGAAATACAGTTTAAAGTACTAAGTTTCGTTCTCTTTTGATCAGATATTTCTAGCCTAATGAAAATGTTATGTCTTGGAAAAACTTATCATTTTCTTGTTTTATTTATAGATCTGTCTTTTTTTTTTATTGATTAAAATAGATATACTATGAACTGTCGAGATATCCGTTAGCAACACTTGAATTTATTCTCAATCAAATTATAGTTATTGACATATTGAATTGATTTATTAATTTTTTGTAATGAATAGTTTTGGAAAGTCATATGACTAAATAGTTTGTGCTATTAGTTTGAATGATTTCCAAATTTTACATCAACAAGAAAAATGTTTTGTTTAGTATATTGACATCAGAAATTTACTTTTTCAATAATATATATATAGTAATGTAAATATATAGGTGTGTTGGGCTAAGGATTCTTTTACAGTAGGTTTCTGTGACTTGTTGGTGATAAATTCGACAATAAACAAACAGCATGCACTCTACTTGTTTTTAAAATAATATATTCTTAGTTGTATCTTAAACACTATGCAGTTCTCTTCTTGTCAAAAGTCCACTTAGGCCAATTCAATTGCTTTAGAATTCAGTTGACGAGCCAAACTATTTTTCTCTATCTTTATCTCAACAGTAACCATGTATAATTCACTTACACTGTCACTTGAATGACTACAGTTGTATCCTGAGCTTCCAATAACCGTCTGTGCTACATACTTCCAATAATCATCTGCCTTTTGTCAAAGTCCACACAGGTGGGTTCAATTAGGTTAGAACACCTTTTGACAAGACAAATTATTCTCCTTATCTCTTTCAAACTCACTCTAACATATCACCTGTTAGGCCATTCAGTCCCACAACAGTTAACTTTACGTTTTCTAACTTTTCTCTGACCAAACTTCTCTTTCACTCTCCTTTTCCACTCATCTGGTTGCAGGTATTTATACGTCTGTCACTTAAGGCCTTCCAGAAATCTCTATAGCCTCAACATAAATGGATTGCAAAAACAAAATAAATTGATTAATAATACTATCAACACTAAACAGTCTTTTATATCTGACAGTTAACTTAAGTATTGGTTTGTTCATGTAAGGAATTGTTGATAACCTTCATTAGGCAAATTGGTTTCTTTCATCTGATGGCTCTCATATAAATTATGGAAAATAATGAACAAAATAGTTTTGATTTATACAAAAAAAAATATTATGGTGTCTGCAGTGTTATCTGTTTTTTAATTTCTTTTGTGTTTTTCATAGGGAGTAAAACCTGAGAATGAACAAATCAACCTAAAAGTCGTGGGACAAGATGGGAGTATTGTCCAGTTCAAAATAAAGAAACACACACCCCTTAGAAAACTTATGACAACATATTGTGACAGAGCGGTAACTATATTTAAATATTTTTGCACCTTGAAAATGCTTTTTTTTACTTATTAGAAAATATAAAAGGTTTTTTGGTTTTATAGAAGTGAAACAAACCTAAATAGAGTTGAGAAGATTTATGGTGTTCTTGTTTGGTTACTATTATATATTTTTATTCCATTTTGTTAGCATTTATTAATGTATATACGAGGCCTGTGAGAAAAGTATCCAACCTTTGGCCGGGGAATAAAAACTGGCATACCTGGAGCGTTGGAAACCTAATCACCTTCAAAGTAGTCTCCTTGGGACTCCACACACTTCTCCCAGCGGTGCTGCCATTGTTGGAAGCATTCCGAGAAAGCTTCTTTCGAAATGGAGTTTAGCTGTTCCCCAAACTCGAGTGGCCATTGAAAGGAACGCGATTTCAGACAAGAGAGGACATTATGGCTGCA